TTACGAATCCTGAGGAACTACTGAGTTCATTAACAACCACTTGCCAGGATATATTGGATTTTATCGCCCCTCTTCGACGCAGACCAGCCAAGGTGCAAACAGTGCCCTGGCTAAACAATTCTACTCGGGCACTTAGACAAAGATGTCGGCAAGCTGAATGCAAATGGAAGAAGGATAAACTTCATGTTTCTCTCCACTATCTCTGGGATTGTCTCTCTGAATATCAGAAGGCTGTAAAATCTGCCACATTGAGCTACTTTTCCAGCATTGTCACCAGCAATTGTCATAAACCTCAGGTCTTCTTTAGTACAATTAATTATTATCAACCTGTGTAACCTTGCTTCTCATCCCGAGAGCCATCTGTAGCAGTTTGTGAGGGTTTTCTTCTATATTTTACTGATAAAATCACTAGCATTAGGCAGTCCTCCAGTTCTACTAATCCCGACCCAGATGATATTCCTCTGCATTCTGCTGTCTTTGATCAGTTTGAGCCTGTATCCTTACCTCTGCTATGTGAACTGGTTCACCACAAGAAAGCATCTCACTGTTCTTTGGATTGTTTGCCAGCTAGACTGTTTAAGGATGTTTTTGACTCTGTTGGGCCTAGCTTTATAGCTCTGATTAATTTATGTTTAGGGACAGGCTCAGTTACAGATGCTTTTAAAAAGAGCAATTGTCCAGCCTCTTGTCAAAAAAGCCAACTCTTGATCCTTTAGTGTTTTCTAATTTTAGACCAGTGTCTAAATTATCTTTTATGTCTAAAGTTCTGGAGAAGATTGTTTTTATACAACTTCAGTCTTTTTTAACAGATAATGGCATTGAGGAGCAATTTCAATCTGGCTTTAAATCAAAACATAGTACTAAGCCTGCAGTATTAAAAATCAGTAACGATATCCTGTTGGCTAGGGATGCCGGGGATTCAGTTTTATTGGTGCTTTTAGATCTCACTGCTACTTTCAATACAGTGGAGCATGGAATCCTCTTATCTCGTTTGGAGCAGTGCATAGGAATTCAAGGTACTGTTCTTAACTGGTTCAGATCTAATCTCAGAAATAGACATTTTATTGTTAATATTGGTACCTGTTCGTCATCTTCAGCTATCCTTTCCTGTGGTGTCCCCCAAAGATCTGTGCTTGGTCCCATTTTGTTCTCTTTGTACATGCTCCCACTAGGATCTGTCTTAAGTAAATATATCCTTTCTTTTCCTTGTTATGCTGATGACATTCAGATTTACTTACCGTTAAAGGCAACAAGAGGAATGTCATTACAGCTGCTGTTTGACTGTCTGACAGACTTGAAATCATGGTTGGTGCTTAACTTTTTGAATCTCAACAAAAATAAGACTGAGTGTATGCTATTTGGTGACCTGGCAAACCTAGCTGCTTCTAACCAGGGCCTGGGCCCCCTAGCTCAACACCTGAAGTCGACAGTAAAAAATCTAGGGGTGATGTTTGATGGCAACTTGAAGTTTGACAAGCAGATCAACTCCGCTGTGAAATCTAGCTTCTTCCACCTGACGCTGTTAAGCAAGGTCAAGTCATTCCTTTCTTTTAATGAATTTGAGATTGCAATTCGTTCTTTTATCACTTCTAGACTTGATTATTGCAATGCTCTATACTATGGTGTTAACCAGTCCTCCCTCACTCGTCTTCAAATGGTGCAAAATGCTGCTGCTCGTCTTTTAACGAGTACTAGGAAATTCGACCATATAACCCCGGTACTGGCCTCTCTCCACTGGCTTCCAGTACATTTTAAAATTGATTTTAAGTTATTGATTTTTGTTTTTAAGGCTCTTAATGGTTTGGCTCCATTTTACCTCACCGAACTAGTGCACTGGCACAAACCTACAAGGTCTCTCAGATCTTCAAGCCAGTTTCTTCTAGAGGTTCCTAGTGTCAAATATAAACGCTGGGATGACCATGCTTTTACTGTTGCAGCCCCTAAAATATGAAATAGTCTACCTTTTAATGTTAGGTCAGCTACTGACCTCATTACTTTTAAAGCATTGCTTAAAACTTATTTATTTGGCTTGGCTTTTAATACACAGTAGGGCTTGATGCACTCCTTTTAACAAACTTTAATTGAATTTTAATTTATTGAACATATGTTATGTGTGTGTGTTATTGTGCCGTTTTATTTTTATTTGCACTGATCTTATTTACTTTATTTTAGTCATTTATTGTGATTTTATTTTCCCATGTATAGTACTTTGGTCAGCTGGATGTTGTTTTAAAGTGCTATAAAAATAAATGTGATTTGATAATGCAGCGCAAAAGTGGCCTTACCGAACGATAGGCTACCTGCGATCATTCCCGCGTCAATTACGTCAGATCAATCAAGCGTCTGTTGATGTATACAACCATAATTTCAAGTCAAGGCTAGCCTCTAACAATGGCCAAGAGTTCAGTTGATTCTGAAAACAGAACCTTTCAAAACCAGTGGGAGGCTGAGTATATGTTTACTGACACTGCCGGTAAACCCATGTGTCTTATTTGTGGAGCTAATATGGCTGTAATTAAGGAATATAACCTAAGACGGCACTACGAGACAAAACATCAGCTGAAAAATGTGAATGCAGAGCAGAAGCTACAGAAGATAGAGGACTTGAAGAGGATTCTGACATCACAGCAGACGTTTTCACCAAAGCGAAATCACACAACGAAGCTGCTGTGAAAGCAAGTTTTATTGCGGCAGAGGAGATAGCCATTTAACAAGGGAGAGTTTCTAAAGAGCTGCATGATGAAAGTGTGCGACGTCTTGTGTCCAGACAAAAAGCAGGTGTAAATGTAAGCCTTAGCAGAAATACAGTTGCTGATTTTAAGTTCAAGTTGATTTATTTTGGAATAATATTGTATCCTGTCTGTTTTGATTCATATTTACGTTTGGTTTTAGTCTGTTCAATAAATGTTTATCCTGTTAAGCCCGCAACCTAAAGTGTGCTTTGAGTTTTGGCCCCCTGTGAGATTGAGTTTGACACCCCTGGTTTAGAGTGTTACACATCTCTTTTCGTTGGCACATATACCATTGTTTACATATCTATTGAGGAGAAATTCAAATTCATTAATACCATGGCGGTTTGTTGTGCTGTTCACTTGTGACAACATTGGCAGCAGGAGTAGTGCACATTCACAATCTGTCCTCTCATTTTTAGGAAGAGGCTCTCTGGTTTTATCGTTCTGAAATAATTACAGACTATTTGGAGTTATGATGGGTGCATTGCTAATCTAGAGGTACCCAAGATTAAACATTAAATGGCTGGAAGCGAGCAAAACGAGCACGCAATGGGGAGTTTAAACCATTTTGCCACAACTTTGGAAGTATGCTTGGGGTCATTGTCCGTTTGGAAGACCAACTTCCTGGTAGTGATGCACTAAAATGAAAACTCTGGGCCGAAACAGAAACTTTAGGATGCACTTGGCCGAAAACCAAAACGAAACCGAAAATGGCTTCTTTTTAAAAACTTCAAATTTTTAAAACACGCTTACTCTATAATTGTGTATGTATGTATATATACATAAATAAATTACTTGAATTTGATGAATCTGAAATGAAAAACTAAAATATTTTTAACAATAAACAATACAATAATATTATTCAAGTTTTATGTAACATTCAATAACAGTTTTGTAACATTCAAACATTTTAAATTGCTGTGCAAAACAATGCAAAACGGTGCAAAAACAGCAATAGAACTTCCAAACAAACTGTAAACATAGCCTAGGTAGCTAGCAGCGCTACACAAATTTTAATGCAACTATGCACTATGCAAAATTGGACTGCTGTTTAGTTCAACAAATGTGACAGTTTTTACTTTAGGAACAAAAGTTGCTCCGCTTTTTGGCTGGAGAGACGGTTCCTCTTCTCATTCAGCACATGAGACGCTGCACTGAAGAGTCTCTCACTGTCTGTGCTGGTGCTTGGGGCAGATAAATACCTGCGTGCAACCCATGCAAGTAATGGAAAGCACTCTTTGCTGGAGCGCCAGTAGTCGAATGGATTGTCGCTTCTGGCAATGGGTCGTTCACCTAGATAAGTGTCGAGTTGATATTTTCGCAGAACAAATGTTGCATATTGCAACTTTGGTGTCCGCACCTGAAACTTCAAAATGCTTCCATACCGCTGACATGCTTTGTCGTTGATGGGGAGACGCGTGATATTTTCGGCGTGTTTTTTTTTATTCCGGCCCGAAATAAAAATGCCCTACTTCCTGGTTGATGTCTTGAGATGTTTCTTCAATATACCCACATCATCTTACTTCCTCATGATGCCATCTATTTTGTGAAGTGCCCCAGTCCCTCCTGCAGCAAAGCACTCCCACAACATGATACTGCATCTCCCCTTGCTTCACAGCTGGAATGGTGTTCTTCGGCTTGCAAGCCTCCCCCTTTTTGTTCCAGACATAACGATGGTCATTATGGCCAAACAGTTCCATTTTTGTTTTATCAGACCAGAGGACATTTCTCCCCAAATGCAGCTGCAAACTGTACTCTGCCTTTGTTATGGCTGTCTTGAGGCAGCGGCTTCTTCCTAAGGCCTTTCCGTACCAAAGTCAATAGTGTTACCCACTGAGCTATCCCGCCTGCTATTGTATCAGTATCTCTTCTGGACAGAGATGATCTTTACATACACACACAAACACACACACACACACACACACACACACACACACACACACACTATATAGCCCATATATAATACCCAGCCCATATGAGAACAGGAATAATAGCAAGAGCAGAACTTTCCTTTCCAACTGTTGCTATTTATTACATGGAGATCAGTCCTATATCACAGCAAGTGGGATGGGTTGTGAACCTGTCATGATGAATTGCAAACAAACATAACTCTGTGTTCCCACAAGTTTCATTGCTAATGTTGCCAAAAATAAGTTGCAAGCAGATGAATAACCATGGGAAGTCTAACAAATACACCCTGCTGTACAGGAAATTCAAATACTATAAATTTTCTTTATTAGCAGATGTGAGTCAAAAAGCCTGACTCACCACTGAGCTGTGTGATAATGCCCTTGAGTCGCCAGACCATCTCACTCCTCTTCAGCCTCTCCTGACGTCCGATCAGCAGCAGGTTTAGCAGGAAGAGGAAGAGGAGGGCTGCAGCATTCACCAGCTCTATGCCAGAACTGTAGAGTTAACAAGCACAACAGCACACATATACATGTACCTATGTAACAAATGCACATCAAGTTACATCATACATACATAGAGTATGTGTGTGTACAAAAACCCACACCCACACCCACACACAGTTATATACTGTACATATAAAATTCCCCACTCGCCCCATTTCAGAGCGGTCTTATTCCTTCCTTCAAGCTTGGGTCCTCTACCTGAGGCCTGGGAGCTTGAGGGTCCTGCACAGTATCCTAGCTGCCCCTAGGGCTGCACTCTTCTGGACAGAGATCTCAGATGTTGTTCCTAGGATCTGTTGGAGCCACTCTCCCAGTTTGGGGGTCACAGCCCCCAATGTTCCTATTACCACAGGGACCACTTGTGCCTTCACCTTCCACATCTTTTCTAGCTCTTCTTTCAGCCCTTGGTATTTCTCGAGCTTCTCGTGTTCCTTCTTCCTGATGTTGCTATCGCTTGGGATTGCTACATCTATCGCTATGGCTTTCTTGTAATGAAAGCTGGAAAAACAAGTCATATCGGCTCAAACACTGCCACGGGTCAACAAGGTCTGCGTCAGGTGTTGAGGAACCAGGGCAACCTGATGAGAAGTGGGTTTCTGGAACAAAACATTCATGGACAAGAACTGAGAACAGGGAACTATTGGAATGCTACTAAACAAGTAACCCCAGCGAGAGGGGTTACATACGGAGAATGTGGGACCTCTGGATACTTCGAAACCCAACATCTAGACTAACATCAAAACAACTAGTAGCTCAGTGCTCTAACATTAGCAAGAAGCACCTGCTATCAAAACTACAGATTGACGAAGTACAACAAGAATGCTACAGCAAGGGGGAGCCAGGAAAACAGGTTGGGGGGGAAGATATGGTATCATCACCCCCACAATAGAAGACTGGGTACCAAGCCCCAGTAACAAACCCAGAGTGGCTTAATGCAAGAGCAGCTGACCTGAGATTGAAGATCACAACAAAGAGGGACACCTGGAACCTCCGTTGCCAGTTACCAAGACTAAGTGAAGTGTCTTCTGAAAGTCTACTAGAAGATGTGAATGCAGCACTATGAACAATCCCTACTACAACCATCACTGAGACCAACAAGCTGACATACATCACAGCAACCATGATCCTTCATCAAGAACTCAAAGGGAATGTGGAAAACAACCCTACAGACCAACTTCAAGCCAACTGCACAGGTCAACATCAAGTGTTGCATCAAGAGATGCTCTGTCCCCGCTGCTGTTCTGCATAGGCCTGAACCCCCTCAGCCAGATAATCACCAAGAGTGGTTACGGATACCGACTACAGAATGGAGCAACCATCAGCCACCTCCTCTATATGGATGACATCAAGCTGTATGCCAGGAGTGAACGAGACATCGACTCACTGATCCACACCACTAGGATCTACAGCCAGGACATCGGAATGTCATTCGGACTGGATAAGTGTGGTCGAACGGTAACGAGAGGGAAGGTAGTCAGAACTGAGGGGATTGTACTACCTGAAGGCAACATAGCAGATGTTGAGGACAGCTGCAAGTACCTTGGGATCCCACAGGCAAATGGGAACCATGAAGAGGCTGCAAGGAAAGCAGCTACTACCAAGTACCTGCAGAAAATAAGGCAAGTCCTGAGAAGTCAGCTGAATGGAAAGAACAAAGTCCGGGCAATTAACACCTACGCCCTGCCTGTCATCAGGTACTCTGCTGGCATAATAAGCTGGCCAAAGGAGGAAATAGAGG